TACATGTATGTATGGCCTATGTTTGGATTAATGCTAAGAGTTTAAGATAGTGTATTTGTATGCATTTTAGGAGGACTCTTTGTTGGTGAGGCTACCACATCATGGTCCATACAGATACAGTTATTTTTTTATTTTCCTGGTTAGGAAGAGTCTGGTGTTTGAGAGCTGTGGCGTGTTTTCATTACAAGAGGTTGGATTATTAATTTGCTATCAGCCAACTTCAGCTATGGACAGTGTTTGGACATTGATGTACTACAGATAAGACTTTTGCACACATCAACTTTCACATGACGAAATCCTACAATCTTACTTTGTTTGCTTTCTTTCGTTTTTTTGTACTTTTGTGTATTTACATTTTTGGCTATAGCTGTATTAACCTGAATTGAATGTTTTCTCTTTTGTATTTAATAAATCCATTGATTTTGAAATCCCTTTGAATACTGTACATTTTTGACAATATAGACATTAGTTATGTGGTGACTGCATCCATTTCAGATGTATAATAACTGTTTTCCCCAAAGACTTAAGTTAGTAATAGTAGCTGAAAAGTATTTAATGTAAAACAGATGTATTGTTATAGATCAGGGGTGCATCCTGTTCCTGGAGATCTACCTTCCTACAGAGTTCAGTTCCAACCCTGATTAAACAAACCTGTCTGTAATTATCAAGTGCTCCTTCAGATCCTAATTAGTTGGTTCAGGTGTGTTTGATCAGGACCAGAGTTGGGCACCCCTGTTGTAGATTAATAGTGTGGGCTGCCCGTGCAGGGCCAGCACTAAGGGGCCAACGTTTTGCCAATGAGCAAATTATCAGGGGCCCTGCGCTGGCAGCCTGCTGGGGGCCCTTAGGCTAGCCCTAAGTGGGCCCATAAAGGGCCACCGCAGGCTTGTTTGCAGGGTACAATATATGCAAAACACATTTTTACTATACACTTTGCTATCACATGAGGCACAAGAAAGGGTTCATATATGGCAGGGAAGGGGCGGTGGCTTTAGTTTCAGCCTGCATTAGCAGTATAAAAGTATTCATCCATTAAGGTTTTCCATTTTATCATAGTTTTAAAATATTTAATTATGTGGAAACTAGCTGTCCCACAAGGGCTCTATATCAATCTCAGTATATGAACTGCATCTGGACAGTAATGGTGAAAATATTCAATAGCTATTTTGTAGTCAAGGCTTTAAAGGTTGTGTAAATTGTACTTGATATGAGAAAAGAAAAAACCCCCCACAATATTCTGGCACTATCCCTTTTTTACAGCCATGTTTAATATGACAAAATGATGCAAAATGCTATGTACATCTGAAAAATAAACAACACAAAAAAGAGGGGAAACATTCTGTATTACATTCAATGACTTAGAGCACATTCGTCAGGGATGAGTCTTTATTAAACACTTTAAATGTGAAAATTAATTTTAAGCTTTTCTGAAACCATGGATAGAATAAAGCATAAATGATAGGATTAATGGTGGAGTTCAGGAAGAAAAATATCACAGCAACATCTCTGACATAAAACAAGTCAGCATTACTGTACGGAATCACTAAAGAACAAATATAATACGGCAGTAAACACAGAAGAAACACAAAGACCAGAATCCCCAGCAGGATCGCAGCCTTTCGCTCTGATTTGTCACTGACTCTGTTTTTGGAGGATTCTGTTCTGTTGTGAACCTGAAGGGCTCTTATAGCAGTCGCATGTCTCTTAGCGATGACAAAAACATGAGTGTATAATATTATAATAAGTGTACATGGCATAAGAAACACAATCAGAAGATCAATGAGAGATGAAACTCCATCTATAATATAAACACATTTTCCTGGACACATGACATCAGTGAAGTTTCCATTAACAAAGAGAAGAATGAAGTTATAAATGAGTGAAAACAACCAGTTAAATAAAGTCGCTATGCAGATCACAGTGGGTGAGATTTTCTCTGAGTAAAAAAAAGGAGAGTGTAAAGCCAAAAACCGATCAACTGCTATCAGAGCCACAGTGTGAACAGACACACTTGTTGCCTGAAAAGTCACAAAATTGAAAACCGAACACATCACTGGTCCAAAAATCCAACATGACTCAATCAACAAAGTCAAATGAAATGGCATCACAGCAACTCCAGTAAGGAGATCGGACACAGCCAAAGAGAGGATGAGGATGTTAGCAGGTGTGTGGAGCTGCTTGAAGTGACTAACAGAGAAGATGACCAGCAGGTTTCCACACACGGTCAGCAGAGACACAGCTGCTGCGGCCACATACAGAATCACATAGACAGATAAAGAAACAGATCTCCCTGGACACCAATATTCCTGACAGACATCACTTTGGTTCACTGCTGTTAGATTCATTCTTCAGTATTTGGATGAAACATCCAAACAGAGTATTGTTCCTTGTGAGTATAAGGACTCATGAATTCAAATGTGCAATTCAACAGCTCTGAATTGCTCATCATCTAGTCTGCATTCACTCCTGGAGGTTCCACAATAAAGACGTGCTACTACAACCCATGCTACCTTTTATACACTTGACATGTTGACTTTTTCCAAGACCGGCAGCATCAAGGGGGAAGAACATACAGCTGGGAGATCAACTGATTTGTTTCATCCAGAGAAAAAAAAACAGATGAAGA